CTGCGGGGAAGGGCCTGCTTCCGTTGGCAATAGGCTGTGCAATCAGCACATGCAGCATTTTTCTTTGCTGCTCGCCCCTTTGCTTTGCACTGCAAGACAGCCCAGAACTAGTCCATGCATGGGGGCAAGAATGCGCACGGTGCACAAAGTGCTTCCGAGCAAAGTGTTGCTGCTGTTGCATAATTTGTTGCAATTGCTTTGACTACTATTGCTGCAGAAGGCGAGGCTTGCAGGAGCCACCCATGCAGGACTCATACATTCCACGTGTGGATCCCTACGAAACTCAGCAGATTCCGGAGATGGTGGAGATTGGTCCACAAGCTGCCTTGTAAACTGCCTGGCACTTTTGGATACTCAATGCAACATGCATCAATGCTGGAGAAGACTTTGGCTGAAGCGACAAGAGCTCAGTCAACCAATCACCTTGTCGAGCCCTTATAGAGCTTAACTTCGCGGCTAATGACTGCGCGAGCCGAAAGCGCAGCCTCTGCTGACAAGGGCGTGAGGTTTTCCAAGAGCGCTATGTCTGGGAGTCTGCTCGCATAGCGAGGTGTAGAGTCCTGGAGCGGAAAAGGTGCTCCTGTAAGTTAAATGCATCTGGGCATGCCGCCAGAAAGCCAGACTGTAGTGGCCTAGCAGCTCCATACATGCCACGTAGCATTGCGCACTGCTTTCTCGGACTTGCAGGAGCTGGAGAAGCTTGTAAAGCAGGCATTAGGCCGCAAAGGGATTTCTGAATCTTTGAGATCAGTGATGCCATGATCGAAGGCCGGAAGGCCACCGCGCCTCGAAAGCAGGACACCGACACAGAAGCAGGAGCAGAGAGACGGAGAGAAAGAGAGAGAGTGCTGGAGCTTCATATGGGGAAAATTATATGGTTCAGGCACTTTATGGGGAACCCACATTTCGTTCACGGCGGTATCAGCTCTGCCTCCTGGGCCGACGGGACATACGGACTGTGCGCGGGCTTTGGGGTTCGCTCCGGCAGGGCCTTAGAGCCCATAGAAGAAGAAGGGCATCATATTGAAGCTGATGGGAGTAGGGAGGGAAACCTTTTCACACCACAGTTGAGAAGGAGGGAGTTTGAATGAGAGGTTGCGCATGAGGGGGTAGTTGCCTTGGGTTGAAGTCACATTCGGCTAGCCTTGGTTTTTTGCAACTTTCAGTTGTCTGCGCCTCGGGCCTCCTGCCTGCCGGCTAAGGGGGGCACCCTTGGCGGGGTTGTCGTAGCTCCCTATAGCCCGGAGAAGAAGAAGTGCAGAGCCAGCAGAATATGGGAAGGACTTTACTTTGAAGTGCCTTGTGCTATAGCTTTGAGTAAGTAGACTGCCGGGTCAACTCTTCCTCAGCCGATCCTTTTCCGTGCTCACATTTCGGTTGGGGAGCGTGCCAGGGGGCAGAAGGTAGAAGAAGGCGGGGGGGGGTAAGGGGTCTGTTCGCTCTTCCGGCACACTTCGCCAGTTTACCGTGCCTCTGAATATACAGAGACCACTGCGGTGGGAGAAGGCCAAGCCAGTCTTCGGACTGCGTATAGCACGTAGAAGAAGTAGAAGGAGGAGAAAAGAGCTCAAAACATGGTTGCTCGAGAGCATTATGCCTAGGTAATGGTAGCTGTTTGCAAGTATGGAGCCCGAAGTCCGCAGTCCAGTCGGCCATGTATGTAGGAAGGTTTCTTGCATCGCATATCCCAGACACTGGTGCTGTGCCAGCAGCGCAGAGAAGCAGCTGTTGTGATGCAGCAAGGCAAGAGGGAACGAGGGTCAAGTGGGGACTGCAGATATGCACTTATGGTGAGGATAGGGAATTCGTTCTGCCATCGCAGTCCTTGCTTTGTTGGTACCTTGAGCTTCTTGTGTGGGACCGGATGACAATTCGTGGACGTGAGGGCTCGGGGCATGCCCCGGGAGGGCCACAAGAAGAAGAGCTCTTACCCCACAATCTTGAACTGTGCGATGCTGCTGGACTGCTAGGATGGGAGAAGAAAATCCAGGCCCTGCAAGCAAGCATCAGGCCTGGACTTGGTGAAGCAAGGCTAGGCAGAGTAGCCGCACTGCATGGGACCCCTTCAGAGGAGTGGAGCAACAATGGCGGATTTCTGGGAGGAGCGTCTGACTGTTTGGCACGAGGAGGCAGCCTGCACTAGTGCATTCTGGCAAGAGAAATGTGGTTGGCACAGCGACATGGGCGGGTCCGAGGAATGGGGTCCTTGCCCACAGAATGATGTACAATTCTCGGGTGAGACTGGGATGGGGAGACATGCAGTTCGTGGAGCTGGAGTGCGGAGCTGATGAATGGAAACCCCGCTTGAGGGCTTCGGATTAGAAGGGAACATCACGTGCGTTGAGCTGAATCTCGTGGGGCCACGCAACTTGACCTATTTTGTCTGGTAGATTTGCACTGGTCAGACGACCATTTCTTGCAACATTCGGCTGGATTCCATTGTAGTTGACATACTCCTTTGTGGCCTGGGTGTTCGTGCCCAGCAGGTGGAGTCTCGATGCGGCGCAGAGGTCCTGCTTGAGCTGCAGCGTCTGTCAGAGGCCTCCCATGGATTGCAGCATGCTTTGCAATGCTTTGAAATTGCCTGTTCACACTGATCAGTTGTCGTCTCCAGAACGAGATGTTGAAAGCCCAGCTTTTTTTTTCTCAGTGTTCTTTCAAGAAGTTGCGTCTCGACTAAGTTGATGCCGCTGCAGATGGCGCTGCTAAGGTTTGGTGGGTAGCTGCTTTTTGGAGAGTTCTCGAGAAATAAGCAACCTGCTGTTTCTGAAGATTGTGCGAACGTGCGCCAGGCGAGCAAGGGCTGAGATGCAAAACGTGGATAAGGTGCAGCAGGCGGAAATGACGCAGAGTACCTCAGACAACTGAATTTTGTTGACAAAGGCTGGAACAGACCTCAAGCAACGATTTGCAGCTGCAGTGGAGCCAGCAGCTCTGTGGACGAAAGCAGTCTCTGCAACGTGCGGAAAGTTTCGAGGGCGCTGGAGTCCTGGAGCTCTGGCAGGGCACATGCATGTCCAACATCTCATCTAGGCATGGCGATGTGAACTTGAAAGATCTACAGAAGTTAGCTCCTCGGTCGGTTTGTAGTTTGCCGGTTGCAAGATGCTGCGGGCGAAGTACGCATGCAATAAGTTCTGACGCAGCGCATGTTAGCGTTGTGTATGCTCATCGTGAGTGAGATGTTTTTTCATGGAAGGGCACGCTTGTTGTCGCAATACAGGGAAGTGTCCAGCATGATGAAGCGCTTGTCTGCGGAAGCCCTAGAGCTGGCTGTGTGCAGAAGGAAATGTGCTGTGTGAACATGAAGCCTGCTCAGGCGGACATGTCATTACAGGGACAGCACCCGGGCCTGGCTGTTGGACCTGTGGAAACCAGGCAGCCGCAGCTCAATCCTTGCTAGTCGGTGAGAGTAATTTGATGCTGCTTGCACTCGCTGCAGGCAGCCGTCTGGCGTGCACGATGAACGCACGGGTGATAGTTCTGTTGCCATGCGCAGGCAAGCTTCTTCCGCATGGCATAATGGCAGCTCATTTTGGCAGTCAGGAATTTCCGGCAGTCCATGAAGAACAGGAAAACAGCTGTGGAGGCAGTGTTGGCGTTAGCAGTCCTGTTTTCAGGGACCCTGGCAGCAATGTGGTCGCGTTCTCATGGTCAGGCAGCTCGAGAAGCCTTGCGCCAACGCATGGTCGGTGTCCAGGAAAACTCTATAGCAATTTCACTTCCCTCCTGCACGTTTGTTCTGTAAGGCTGCTAACTCGAGAAATTCTTCATTCTCTGATGCTTTCCTGTGCATGCGCACCAAATGCCAAGGCAGCAAGTATGTTTGATCCTCAGATCTTTTTGAAAAGCTATTTGCAGGCTATCCAATATACACAATCAAGCCTAGCCCCCTGTGACTTGTGAGCCCAGGCCGCAGAATCGAGGCCTGTTCCGATACGGGTGAAACTCAGAAGGGCAATTTGCCCACCCCTTGACAGGTCCCCGGACTGACTTCTTTGCCTCCAGCCAGGGCGTCAAAACGCTGCCTCTTGCAGATCTCACAGGGTCTGCATTGGGGTCAAGGTGCCGGACCTTTCAGCGCGAGCTGAGTTGCATCTGAATGCCACGACAGCGGCAGAGGAAGAGCCTGCATGCGATGAGACAGCAGCTGGGGGCAAGAAGGACGCTGATTGCGGACGAGGCCCGACAGAAATGACAGAAGTAAGACTTGCATCGTTCCAGAGAGTCTGCTTAGGGGATGCTGTGCCGGTCCACAGCAAGGAACCCGCGCCGCTGACAAGTTGCGTCAACGGTTTTCATGCAGTTTCCTTTTTGACTGCTTGCTCGCATTAGACTCTCGTTGACACTGCAGCTGTTTGGTTGCCTGCCATGAAGCTAGGGGATTTGATGCTTGACTGGGTGCATTTTCCGAGTCATCTCTCACCCTTAGAGAACAGGTCAGAACAAGCACACCTGCAGCTTCATGGCATATGCTGCGCTTACAGTTCCACGCGCATGGGCTGCTGGTCACAGGCCGCGGCCGATTGTGACTTATCCGCTTCAGAGGTCTTTTGCCTATCCGTGGAGGCGAGACATATGCTGCTAGGAGCGTGCTCAAGGCCTGGTTTCGCAGCCACAGGCTGAGGAGCAAACACATCAAGCATCTTGAAGTATCAGTTGTAGGCGAATGAAGGACGCTGGGATGCTGGACTGAAAGGCTGGCTTCTTCCTTTTGAGAGCAAGGGGCTGGGTGCCGAGATCTTTAGGTAGTGCTACTGCCATGCCCGGAGATCTCTGATCGTTCTGTGGCCCAGGACCTTGCTCAAGGCTTTGCAGGCCGACAAAACAACATGGAAGGTGGAAGATTCTGCAAAGGCCGAGCCCTCGAATGCCACTACTGGATGCAGATCGCTTGCTTGACGTTTCCAACCGCAACCCGAAGATGCTCCCCTCAAACTGGGCAGTTGTGAAAGGTTCAAGCGAAGTTGCTTTGTACCATCCTGTATTCTTAGCGGGAAATGCCTCAGCCCAATGCCCCACACCGACGTGCGGCGCGCCTGCCATGACCCCAGTTGCCTTGGTTGTGTCCCGCGGGGTTCAGTTTAGTCCGCACTGCTCTCCAAGCTCAGGTCTGCGCACTTGATCCCCCGCTTTTGCGGAGGTGAGCGCGGTGGCTGCGGATGCAACACACCTCGGCGGCAACGCTTGGCTCCCCATATTTGCCGCAACGATCCTGCAACGGGCTATAACTGGAGGGACGTTCATGCTGATCTCGAAGCTGGAGTCTATGCAGGATGCTACGGCTGGGACCATGCTGCCTATTGGGGTATTGCCGAGGCCAAGGCAGGTGTTGACTTGAAGGAGTGGTACAAGACACGGACAGAGGCCGAGTTCTACTTGCCGGAATTCAAAGAATTGATTGATGATCCCGCGACTCACAAGGATTGGGATCGCATCTCGACGTTTGATCCTTTGGGAATGACGGCCCACCCGCCTACGATCGCCGCATGCAAAGCCAAGCTGGACATCCCAGAGCTGAAGGAGACCGGCCACGGGCTGAGGGTGCTGCCAAAGTATATAGAAAGGTGGATAGGCTTCCTATTCCGTCTGGTGGATGTATATCGTAGCAGATGATAAGAAGTTGTGCCCAAGCTTCAACTGCAGTGTAAATTCTGCAGGACCTCCATATGGATGGTGAGATCGTCCTGCCCTCGAATGAGATTGTCACCTCAAAGTGTGCAATCAGCTATGCCTGGAACATACCTCTCATGGCGGACAGGGTAGGCCTCAGTGAACAAGAGCTGCGAGAAGCGCTGCACAAGTTCTCCTACGACAGCCGCCTGTTGGATCCGAAAGTGAAAACCTACCTTCCAGCTGTGGGCGGGCTTACCATCTACACATTTGGGGATGCACGAAAACTCAAGGACGAACGTACCGAGGTGTGCGTGCGAGTTCATGATGAGTGCATTGGTTCTGATGTCTTTGGCAGCGACATCTGCAGCTGCCGCCCTTACCTCATCTTTGCTCTCCGGGAGGCTGTGGAGTGTGCTCAGCGGGGTGGGGTCGGCGTGGTCATTTACTTCCGAAAGGAGGGACGTAGCCTAGGCGAAGTGATCAAATTCAGGGTGTACAATGCTCGTGTGAATCAAGACGGGGGGGACCGCCCAGAGATGTACTTCCACCACACAGAGGCCATTGCAGGCATCCGAGATGCTCGCTTCCAAACCATGATGCCCGACGCTTTGAACTGGATGGGGATCCGGCGCATTGATCTCCTGTGCTCAATGAGCAATGAGAAGTACGAAGCCATCACCGGCGCCGGTATTCAGGTAATGAAGAGAGTGGACCTACCCGACGACTACATCAAAGACAGTATGCGGGTGGAGCTGGATGCCAAAATTGCAAGTGGATATCACTCCGATAAAGTGGAGGAAACGAGCAGCTGAGCAGCTCAGGCCTGCCAAGCCTACAAGCCTACTCAAGGGAAGGCTGATGTGCAGTGCTGTAGATGGATGTTAGTGAATTTTGCCTGGCTGCTTTGGATTTCAAGGAGCATCTTCCGGCCAGCATGTCGTGATTGTGACTTGCTTATTTGAAGCGGTCATACACGACAGTTCTCACCCCCGCTCTGGAGATTTCAAAGAGCAAGGGCTCTTTGCAATTCAACGCAGCTTTTGAAAACCAATTTCCCGCAAGCCGGAAAAAGCGCAAGAGTCATCACCGAGTGCTGTTGAAGGAGACATGCTCAGCTTGTGTGATCCAGTAGCTGGGTATGTACTGTAAGTGTTGAGTTGAGGTGAGGGTGAAGATTGACGAATGGGATCATGCTCCCACAGTCAGAGGTGCGCCCATGGTCCTCCCACACGTTTGCAATTTCCTGCGACACCTGAGGTGAAACTTATCCTATCAAAGCATTCCTTCGACGGGAGGGTGGTGTGTGGGTGAGCCGCTGAGTTCCCGTAGGGTTCAGGCCTGTCATAGTTATAGTTCTGTAGAAAGCAAGACAAGCGAAAGGATCCAAAGATCAGATCTTGGATCTTCTCCAACCACTCAACCACGCAGCTCCAGAAGGCAGTACAAGTCCAAAAACTAAGAATATCGCATAGATTCTCTTTGGAGGCCTTGAAGTTGTGCCCGGAAGTCGGCCATGTGGAAGTGGTTCAACCCATGCCAAGAGCACGAGGCTCGGTGATCGTCTTGGAGGCCTGTTTGTGCATGCACGATGTGGTCGAGTTGCTCACCTCTGAACAAGCGTCACTCAGAGTGTGTTCTCAGTTTTGGCAAGGCTGCTCACAAAGCATCCGGACAGCCTCGTGCACATTCTCAGGAGTTGATGGAGCTTGCCTCAGAGTCGAGATCTACTGAGCCTAGGGCATGCTTGACCTAGTTGGAGCGGCAGTGTCGCAACTGGGAGAGCGGTCCAAAAAAACAAAAATGATATCACCAAAAATCAAAAAGCCATCAACAAAAATACCGAAAATATCAACAAATAACCACAATCCAACAGTAAGGAAGCTAAACAGAAGACGGCGACGGGGGACAGGCAGCAAAACGACAAGAAAGAAAGAAAGAACGGGAGGAAGAACCGCAGCAAGAAGGAAAGAAGAAAGAAAGAAAGAACGTAGGAGACCAGATATTAACAACGCACAAATGAGCAGTGAGAAGCAGGGGAGAGTGAACTCTTTTAGGGTGTATGCTTTCAGATGGGTTTTGTGTGTATGGGAAATCACTCTCTAACCTTACCTCGACTCATCAAACTTGAACGATTTTCCGAGTATGAGAAGGGGAGTTGGCCCAGTGTACAGATCAGGCAACGCGCATTTCCGAAGGCCGGGGGGGAGGGGGGAAGAAGAAGAAGAAGATGAGGCACCTCGAAGGCCTTTGGAAACATCCCTTGTTTTTTCTCCAACCGACCGATCGGGGAAGTCGTGCTCGGGGTTCGCCCTGGTGCGCCCCCTCTGGGACGCGCATAGCACATAGAAGAAGAAGAAGAAAGTAGGAGAGAGAGACAGAGACAGACAGATGTTGGATTCTTAAGGTTGTTTCTGCCTTGTGATGTTGAAGCGGGGAACCGGAAATTCAATGTTGAAGACAACCAATGCGCAGCAAGGTCCACAGGAAGACACATTCAGTCAGCTGCGTAAGCGAGAGGTTGTACAAATCATGTATGAAGACCCATTTTTCCAACCAAGAAGGCAGTGAGATGCAGAGGGCAGAGATTACGAGCTAAATTTCTGGTCTGGTACATCATTTCTTCCGATGCTCAGGGCGTCCGGAAAGGTGCATAGAAAAATCACTCGCAACCCTTCCTCGGCCATTGCACCAGTGAGATGGAGGAAGTTCGCACCGAGGGCCAAGGGGGGGGGAAGAAGAAGAAGAATTACTCAATTGACTTTCGAAAGTCCTCCATTTTTCTCCAACTGGCCTGATCGGGGAAGCCGTACTTGGGGCATAGCCCCAACGCGGGGAAGCTCTCGAGGGTGCAC